GGGGTAACATGAACGCGCAGCGTTATATCCACGAAGTTCTAGAACCCCATCTTTTACCCTATCTTGACACCCTGGCAGATCCAACGTTCCAACAAGATAATGCCCGACCACATGTTGCAAGAGTCACAATAGACTGCTTTCAACATAATGATGTCACATTGTTACCATGGCCACCGAGATCTCCAGACTTATCCCCAATTCAGCACGTGTGGGATATGATGGGTAGGAGATTGCTCAATTTGCAACGTCCTCCTCAGACTCTAGAAGCACTTCGAGAGGAGTTGGTGGTTGCCTGGAATGAGATACCACAGGAGGACATTGACCACCTGATCAGAAGCATGCCCAGGCGCGTTGGAGAATGCGTAGCACATCTGGGTGCATCCACATATTATTAAAGGTCAAAGGGATTTAAAGCAGTTAAGTCATTTTGAAATTTTAATCATTTACTCATTATGATTCATTAAGTACTTATACAAAATTTTATTAAAATAAAACCATTTAAACTGGGTGTTCGGATTTATATGTCACTTAGTATATTAATATATATCTCAAACTGTATGAAAGAGTAATGTATCTATAGGTGGTCTTATCTCAACAATAAGTAGCAAGACCTATAATGCCGATAGTTTCATATTATTCACATTTGAAGAGTTCCTTTAGTATCACACCCATGTTAGACAGCACAGCTCTTACTTTTTGATATCTCCACGAAGCCTTAATTTCAAAGCATAGGCCTATATTCTTATAAATTTTGTCTCTGTACGCTTCTTCCATGTGAAGTGCCTCTTTATCATTCTTCTTCCTAATCACCATGTCAGATCTGCTATGTTCAATTCACTTGTCTGTAATGTTAGCCCGGTATATTTCATATTCCTCGTTTTCTATCAGCTATTATTATTATTATTATCATTATAATTTACAAAACTTAACTGCTCCTACTCCTGAATTCCGATAATTCAAACAAGCATGCTATTTATCCAAAATTGTTGTGTCTCATTTAGATACAGCAGGATGACAAAGTCCCTCTCGAGCCTGTGATGCCAAAGTCCATAATGATGCAAATACTAGACGCAGCCAGTCTAGCTGTCTCTTTACTTCTCTTGTCTAACTGTCTGTATTCTCTCGGTATAATTTCTCTGTGGCTATTTTATATTCAGGAAGTGAAATTGGGCGGATTCGGTCCTGTGGGGTGGCGACCGCAGTGCCGCCACTTCTATTCTGAAGCAGATATAAATAGAGGGAGAGAGAAATCGACGCAAAATAGAAGAATACCGGATTGTCTGGGATTTTTTCATTAGCCTTTATTTATAGGATGGGATGCTGTATTGAAAAATCCGACGAGTGGTCCTTTTACGATTCGGCAAAGCTTCGTTCTTTTTGCACCCATTTACCATGCATGCACGTCTTATCCACGAACGTTGAATTCGAATTTGCTGCTCATTTCGTGCAGAGGTAAAAAGAACCAGTTAAAAACTACGGTTTACCTCCCGCGTATAAACGATTACAAAACCTCAATTTTTCCATTATATACTTTCTTTTGCAGAGTCAAACATTAACACAGGGCGTTTCAGTTTATTGTTGCATAACTTTAAGATTCGATAGAACTTTTAAAAAGTAATGCATAAAGTCTATATAAACATGGGTCGAAAAATGCGTGGCTTCCGAAATACAGGGTGTTTAAATTTACTTTCTAAAATAGTTTTTTTTTAAATATTTCAAACAATATTTGATGTATAACAGTGAAAATTGGCATACAAGGGTTTTTTGGTACGACAAAACGAACCATGGGCATAGTTTTACTGTAGCCGCTAGAGGGCGCTCTCTACTGTACCTGTAGTGTATTAAAATGACCGAAAATTTTTTCATAGTGCAATTTTTTGCTTTCTGATAAAAAAACTGATTCTTCGCACTTTTCAACATAAAAAAGCTCTCTTGTGAATTTTCGTTATAGTTAGCCGTTTTTGAGATATTTCGATTTTTAAGGTTCGATGCATTTTTAATTATTTATGATAAAATAACGTTAAAAAGTCAGTATCTGGATAATTTTTAGAAGTAGGCTGTGCCTGCAAATATTTTTGAAATTGAAAGCAGAATAAGGTTAAACGTCAATTAGTTGACAGTTAGTTTTGTTGTCTGTTGAAACCTGAAACGTTTTTTTGCAATGTGAATGCAGGAAATTTAGTTTCTTTTACCTGTTTTTTTTTGTAAGTCTTATAAAAGTGCCATTTTTATTCTCCAATCAAGAGTTAGCGGATATTCATTTTGTATATGGCTTTGTAAATGGAAACGCAGCAGAAGCAGCCAGAGAATACGCACGAAGACTTCCAAACAGACGACATCCAACTCGCTCAGTATTTGTAAGAGTGCATCGCCAAATAATTGAAAATGGTTTTGAAAATCTCCAAAGGGATCAAAACATAAATGTTCGTCAGCGCAGATTTACCCGTATGATTCTGCGCGAGTTTGATAGAGATCCGACACAAGTGTTAGGAGAGTTTCTGGTGCCTTGGGAATTCCAGCAAGCCATGTTTACCGTGTTCTTAGAAATGACCATAGACGTCCTTACCATTTGCAACCTGTGCTGGACTACAGCCAGCGGACGGAGAACGAAGAATCACATTTTGTCAGTGGATTCTAGATAGAACTGATAATAATAGGGAGTTTTTAAGTAACGTTTTATGGACCGATGAGTCATGCTTCACTAGACGTGAAGTGGTAAATTTTCATAATCAACATATCTGGTCACATGAAAATCCGCATGCAGTTCGGGAAAGAAATTTTCAGCATGAATTTAGTGTGAACGTGTGGATTGGTATCTACCGTAATCAACTATTTGGACACTACCTTTTCCCTGCAAGGTTAAATGCTGCGACCTTCTTGGAATATTTAAAGGCTGAACATGCAAATATGTGGGATGACGTTATGTTGGATTTAAGAAGACTGGCCTGGTTCCAGCTTGGTGGTTGTCCAGATCATTATTCGAGAGTAGTTAGAATTATCCAGAAAGATGGATCGGCCGTGGAGGACCAGTCGCCTGGCCTCCACGATCCCCTGACCTAAATCCATTAGATTTCTTTGTGTGGGGATTTCTAAAAGAAAAAGTGTACCAGACTCCTGTAGCCACAAGAGATAACATGCTTATAGACAGAATCAGGAATGCATGTGATGCAATAAGGCCTTATTTGAATAATGCTATACCACGTTCGATCATTCGTAGATGTGAATTGTGTATTGAACAATTCGGTTTACATTTCGAGCAACAACTTTAGATTTTGTATGTTTGTCCTAACTATCCAATAGCACTTTAGTTGTAAATAATTAATTTAATTTGTTAAAAATAATATTGGAAAATTAAACAAATTAATTACTGTTTTTTGTGTTTATTTGGAGTTAGGAATTATTGCTGTGTTGAAAACACAATCTACACGATCATCTCAATTACTCGTAATGAACAAATCGAAAATGTAAAAAAAATATTATTTTCCATACATAATTAAAAATGCATCGAACCTTAAAAATCGAAATATCTCAAAAACTAAGTATAACGAAAACTCATAGGAGAGCTTTTTCATGTTGAAAAGTGCGAAGAATCAGTTTTTTTATTCAAAAAGCAAAAAATTGCACTAAGAAAAAAATTTCGGTCATTGTAATACACTACAGGTACGGTAGAGAGCGCCCTCTAGCGGCTACAGTAAAACTATGCCCATGGTTCGTTTTGTCGTACCAAAAAAACAATTGTATACCAAATTTTCACTGTTATACATCAAATATTGTTCGAAATATTTAAAAAAAACAATTTAGAAAGTAAATTTAAACACCCTGTATTTCGGAAGCCACGCATATTTCGACCCATGTTTATATAGACTTTATGCATTAATTTTAAAAGTTCTATGGAATCTTAAAGTTATGCAACAATAAACTGAAACACCCTGTATACTTATATGTATGTTCTAAATAATGTCCAAGTATCTTTAAAATATTCCGGTTTCACTACGCGATTTTTGATGTATTCCTGTTAAACGGACACACCCCTTGAACGAACACTTCAGTCGATCCCGCTGTTGCCCCTCTAAAGGATATTTTACTGTATATGAAACAACATTCATCCGTAACGTAATAAATGTGAAAATATACCCTACTTAAAAGTTATAAAAATTAAGCAAACTATAGTCCACACTAGCTGATAACAAAAAATCAGAGAATAGGTGTCTGCAGTTGACCTATTGTAACGATTTCTTTCTTTTTGAAACTTCCGGTGCGTATTTATTTGCCGAATTTGTTTTAGCGAGGCTAGTGTGACTTTTACACGAATTTTTCTCTTTCTGAATGACGATTTGCATTTATTAATTGAGCATGAACTCATATTGAAGATAGCCAGGTAACCGTGAGGTAAACACTGTCGCAGGTCAAATTGACAGAAAATAATGCAAAGCATCTACAAAATACGATAAAACGTATCAAACCAGGAACTGAGCCATGGCATGTAGTGGACTTTAGCATGCAATTTATGTAAAAGCTAAATATACTACTAAATGTGCATCAGAAGCAAATTTAATACCTGCATTCAAGTGTCAAATAAAACTGAAAATTTAATAGCTATTGAAGCTTTGGCGCAAAATGGCTTCGTGCCATCTACACGGCCTTTACTCACAGGACGACTACTTAAAACCCTAATATGCATAATGAGACGCTTTAAGAGGTAATGAGACGCGCTTTATATAGGCTCTAATAAACCTTACGCGTCGACATTAGTCCGAGTTGCAGCATCGAACGATGCCCTTTTGTTAAAAGCGATGAACTGATAAAAGTGGACAGAAGAATATGTGAGTTGCACTCGTCAAGCCCCTCATTTGACAAACGTTGTACAAGGTGACCATGGAAATTATAAACGCCATCTTCGGGATTTGGAATGAAGCCACCTTGGTAATTGTGTTTCTCTCATCAGGCCCTTTCGTTTGATACCCATGTCACAGGGGTGAAAATAAAAACTGTAAATCTCCATTTTGTGGCGGTTACCATATTTGATCCAAAATGGCGGCAGTTAATTTATTGTACATTGTCTCACGAACCAAGCATGTCTACACAATGTTGTCTCAGTTGGTTGAGGTAAAGCGAACAGGTCATGTTAAGTAAAATCTTGTCAAAAAGTGGGCTATGGAAGTCCACCCCACACTTAGTGAAGCTTGGCAACCTAGAGATCATTTGCAAGAAAAGTCTATATTCTTATGACACCTTGCTGTAACATCTTGAACGAGAGGAATTATAATACTGAGTGACATACAATGCAGCACCCAGAATTATTTATTGAATTTTGATAAAAACTTGTAAACATATTGGCTATCTGGCAAGTATACGCTGATAAAACGTTGAAGGTATTCCGGGCCGTACCTTTTTGTAAAGGCTTTTTTGTCATATCATGATTCGAACAATATGACCATGATTACTTAATATCCAGTGATTTTTCAGTGATCGTTCAACTTGTTTCATTGTTGTTTCATTGCATTATCATCCCTAGAGTTTTTTTTTTGTCATTTAGTATTATTAGAGATGATGACTTTGCTCATTCAAAGACAAAATTAGCTATAACCATTTTAAATTTCGAGCAGCCATTTTATAGCAACAACAGTAGTGCATAATTACGTTTTATTAATGTGCTTTATTACCATTCTTATGAGATTGTAAACTCACACAGTTATGGAAGGTTGTAAAATTATGAACTTTTCTTTCCAGACAAACGATTCTATAAAGGCAGGATTTGATGGGGAAGGGCTTTAAAGACGTACTTCAAAAACGGTTTCTTAGCAGTTACCAGTAGCGATC